TTAGGGTTTAGGGTTTAGGAGTATGTCGGCTCCCATAGTATCTACGGTCTTCGGCTGGAGTTATGGGTTCAGAGAGGCATGGCTGTTTGATTGCCCATTTTGTTGTAGCTTCTGCTGCTGCCACAGCCGAACTGTGGAATGGGACTTAGACAACTACCCAGACCCCCGGAAGGATCAAGAANNAGAACCCCTAATTTGGGACCCCATACTACCAAAGGGACTTTGCAGGATCCCCCTACGGGATCTACTTTTTGGATCCTCCCGGGGGTCTGGGCACCCATCTGCTATCGAACTTAGGGTCAGGAAATGCTAACAGAAACTTGTTCATCTGGGGCCCCGCTCCAGAAAAAAACTGCGGGTGTCTTACCTACGTGAAGTTTCTGCGTAGAGGATTGCTCCCTAGGAAGCCCAAATTCTGAAAATCCTCGCAAAGCACGGTTGCCTTCTGCAAGATTTGCGAGTCGCTGATCGTCAAGGATCGGGTGCCGTCCTCGGCATTCTCAGCCACTTCCCCATCTGAAGCCCTCAACCCTAAAAGCCTCCAACCTAGACCGTAAACCTTAAACCCTAAACCCTGAAAGCCTCCAACCTACAGCCTCCAACCTAGACCCTAAACCCTAAACCCTGAACCCTAAGAGTCTCCAACCTGGACCCCACAGGTTGCTTCCCGTTTTTTTCCAGCTTCCCTGCCCTGTCTCTGCGAAAGCTTGAGGAGCGTCACGGCGTAGCTCCCTGCTGCAGCAACAGATCCCTTATGGGGCCAAGAGCATATGTCAAAGGTGTCTCGCCGTACGCGTTGCGAGGTGACACCTCCGCCCTGTGTGCCAAGAGCAGCCTTACTGGCCTTACTATAGCAGGATTAGAGATTGCGCGATGAACACTCTTGTGCAGGGGTGTGTCGCCGGTGACATCGCGTGCGTTGACTTCTGCTTTCTGATCGAGGAGCAAGGCGAGCACCTCTGAGCGACCGGGCTTCGGGCTCCCAGCAGCCAGGTGGAGCGGCGTCTGTTCCTGCTCATTGCGGGAGGTGACGCAAGCCTTATGGTCGATGAGAAAGTCTTGAAACCTTCAAATGGCCCTGTAGGGCAGCACCGTGAAGGGGAGTAGAGCAACCACGAGCAGGCTGATTGACCTCTGCCCGATGTTCCAGGAGCAGCGCCACCAACTCCGAGTATCCCCTGCCAGCAGCTGCATGGAGGACTGTTTGGCCCGATCGGTCAGCCGCGTTGACATCTGCCTTCTGAACCAGGTCCTGCAAATTACGGCCCTCGCCAGTTGAATTGAACAGCAGGTTCTTGGCGAACGAGGCGTAGTACTTGTACACTTGCCGAGCTTCCTGCAATCGCTGCATCTTCAGAAGGCTGAACTCAATCCTGAGTTGTAGTCCAAAGGCCCCCATGCCCTGTTCAGGAATGGGTTTCTCTGCAAGACCCCGAATTGTTCTGGAAAACTGTTCCCAAATTGCCGCCGAGTAACCTCTTCACAAGGTCTAGCTGCTCCCCATTTGCAGCCTCTGCATCAGCTTGCGCCTCCGCACATGGGAGAGAAGACCTTATCTTTACATATTATACACCCTACAACCAGTCTTGCGTCCGAAAGCCCGGGCATGTCTCTGGGCTTCTGGAGAGTACATAATACATATATATATATATATGCTACCCCGCCCCCCACCGTGACCTACCGATTTCG